CTTTGAAAAAATATCAAAAATGAAATTAAGAGTGTAAATTTTTAGCTCTTTCAATAGTGGCAATATTTTAACTCTCTTGGGGTGAGATTTCGCTCCAAGAAATTTAGACAGTAAGCTTATGATAACTGTGCTTGTGAATGCAGCATATATATATATGTATATATATATTAATGAGGCATAAATCAAATGTTATTTTTAAATAACTAAAAGCGTATACAGGGTGGCCCATGTAAAGTGTTACAAGCTATTATCTCTGAAAGTGTGTGTCAAATGACTAATATGTTCAGACAAAAGTTTTATGACTTTGAGGAAAGCATAAGATGGTATTATTTGTTTGACCTTGGGTAGCGTTGTCAAAGTGAGAGCAAGGCCATTTTGAATTTTTTAAATGGAACCCCCCATTTTTTATTACATATTGTTGTAGCTTACTTTGAGAGCTTTTTAAAACACTATAATTAAGTTCATTTTCATTAAGCACCTACTTTTTGAGTTATGAGGCTTGAAAGTTACAATATTGCCGGCATTAGCATTACATAAGGTGTCCGATAAATGTTATCCAGGACATGATCTTGAACAATATTCAAGAAGTTTTAACCGTCGATCGGACACCTTATGTAATGCTAATGCCGGCAATATTGTAACATTCAAGCCTCATAACTCGAAAAGTACTTATTGAAAATGAACTTAATTATAGTGTTTTAAAAAGCTCTCAAAATAAGCTAATGCGTCGGCAATATTGTAACTTTCAAGCCTCATAACTCGAAAAATACTTAATGAAAATGAACTTAATTATAGCGCAATAAATAAAACAAGGGCAAACGAGCCAACTACAATATAAGATCTTTAATAAACGTATATATATACAATAATCAAACGTTTCGACACCGATCGGGTCATTTTCAATGTACAATAACAAAACATCTTACATACATAATCAGAAATTCAGTTAAAATATATTGTCCAGTGAGAATTTGGTTATATTCATAAAAAGCAGTCCATATTTAAAACTATTGAAGAGATCAAAACTCATTCTACCATCTGAATAAATAATAAATTAACGTTGCGTTATAAATTAGATAAACGATGTACATGTTTAGTAAATTAGATTAGAGAGAATATAAATTAAATAAAACATACATACCTCATATTGTCTCAATGATGTAATGTAGACAACGATAGGAACACTCAGTTAACAAAATTGTATTTAATAAAAGTTATGTATAATAAAAATTATTAAGCCATGATGCGCATGAATATAACGTTTTGACTCAATCGACGTCAAGCGA